GTGTGACACTCTGAGATGATGTACATGTGTTCAGAAGTGTGTGTGTGACACTGAGATGATGTACATGTGTTCAGAAGTGTGTGTGACACTGAGATGATGTACATGTCTTCAGAAGTGTGTGTGACACTGAGATGATGTACATGTCTTCAGAAGTGTGTGTGTGACACTCTGAGACGATGTACATGTGTTCAGAAGTGTGTGTGACACTGAGATGATGTACATGTCTTCAGAAGTGTGTGTGACACTGAGATGATGTACATGTCTTCAGAAGTGTGTGTGACACTGAGATGATGTACATGTCTCCAGAAGTGTGTGTGTGACACTCTGAGACGATGTACATGTGTTCAGAAATGTGTGTGTGACACTGAGATGATGTACATGTGTTCAGAAGTGTGTGTGTGACACTCTGAGATGATGTACATGTGTTCAGAAATGTGTGTGACACTGAGATGATGTACATGTCTTCAGAAGTGTGTGTGACACTGAGATGATGTACATGTCTTCAGAAGTGTGTGTGACACTGAGATGATGTACATGTCTCCAGAAGTGTGTGTGTGACACTCTGAGACGATGTACATGTGTTCAGAAATGTGTGTGTGACACTGAGATGATGTACATGTGTTCAGAAGTGTGTGTGACACTGAGATGATGTACATGTGTTCAGAAGTGTGTGTGACACTGAGATGATGTACATGTGTTCAGAAGTGTGTGTGACACTGAGATGATGTACATGTGTTCAGAAGTGTGTGTGTGACACTCTGAGATGATGTACATGTGTTCAGAAGTGTGTGTGTGACACTGAGATGATGTACATGTGTTCAGAAGTGTGTGTGTGACACTGAGATGATGTACATGTGTTCAGAAGTGTGTGTGTGACACTGAGATGATGTACATGTGTTCAGAAGTGTGTGTGTGACACTCTGAGATGATGTACATGTGTTCAGAAGTGTGTGTGACACTGAGATGATGTACATGTGTTCAGAAGTGTGTGTGTGACACTGAGATGATGTACATGTGTTCAGAAGTGTGTGTGTGACACTCTGAGATGATGTACATGTGTTCAGAAGTGTGTGTGTGACACTCTGAGATGATGTACATGTGTTCAGAAGTGTGTGTGTGACACTGAGATGATGTACATGTGTTCAGAAGTGTGTGTGTGACACTGAGATGATGTACATGTGTTCAGAAGTGTGTGTGACACTGAGATGATGTACATGTGTTCAGAAGTGTGTGTGACACTGAGATGATGTACATGTGTTCAGAAGTGTGTGTGACACTCTGAGATGATGTACATGTGTTCAGAAGTGTGTGTGACACTCTGAGATGATGTACATGTGTTCAGAAGTGTGTGTGACACTCTGAGATGATGTACATGTGTTCAGAAGTGTGTGTGACACTCTGAGATGATGTACATGTGTTCAGAAGTGTGTGTGACACTGAGATGATGTACATGTGTTCAGAAGTGTGTGTGACACTGAGATGATGTACATGTGTTCAGAAGTGTGTGTGTGACACTGAGATGATGTACATGTGTTCAGAAGTGTGTGTGACACTGAGATGATGTACATGTGTTCAGAAGTGTGTGTGACACTCTGAGATGATGTACATGTGTTCAGAAGTGTGTGTGTGACACTGAGATGATGTACATGTGTTCAGAAGTGTGTGTGACACTGAGATGATGTACATGTGTTCAGAAGTGTGTGTGACACTGAGATGATGTACATGTGTTCAGAAGTGTGTGTGTGACACTCTGAGATGATGTACATGTGTTCAGAAGTGTGTGTGACACTGAGATGATGTACATGTGTTCAGAAGTGTGTGTGTGACACTCTGAGATGATGTACATGTGTTCAGAAGTGTGTGTGTGACACTGAGATGATGTACATGTGTTCAGAAGTGTGTGTAACACTCTGAGATGATGTACATGTGTTCAGAAGTGTGTGTGTGACACTGAGATGATGTACAAGTGTTCAGAAGTGTGTGTGACACTCTGAGATGATGTACATGTGTTCAGAAGTGTGTGTGTGACACTGAGATGATGTACATGTGTTCAGAAGTGTGTGTGTGACACTCTGAGATGATGTACACGTGTTCAGAAGTGTGTGTGACACTCTGAGATGATGTACATGTGTTCAGAAGTGTGTGTGACACTCTGAGATGATGTACATGTGTTCAGAAGTGTGTGTGACACTCTGAGATGATGTACATGCGTTCAGAAGTGTGTGTGACAATGAGATGATGTACATGTCTTCAGAAGTGTGTGTGACACTGAGATGATGTACATGTCTTCAGAAGTGTGTGTGACACTGAGATGATGTACATGTCTCCAGAAGTGTGTGTGTGACACTCTGAGACGATGTACATGTGTTCAGAAATGTGTGTGTGACACTGAGATGATGTACATGTGTTCAGAAGTGTGTGTGTGACACTGAGATGATGTACATGTGTTCAGAAGTGTGTGTGACACTGAGATGATGTACATGTGTTCAGAAGTGTGTGT